TTTGTTGAGTCTATAGTACAAGCTCAAAATTCGTTCTCTACATTCCTCTCTGCAGTAACAATCACCAGTTCACAAGCATTTGACAGGAAAGGCAGGTGAGTGCGGTTGTAACAGCCCAAAAACAGTGATAAAAATTTTCATTTAGACCAAAATTTTCATTCATTACATGTTTCAAAAACCATCACCAAGTGTAATATCAAAACATCATAGTACAATTATTCAATACACGGAAAATCATGAGGGGAGGATGATGTTTCATCACGTCGGGCCCTTCCCCTTTTGAACCGGAAGTACCTGAAACCATAAACATAAACTGTAAGCACAAAGCTTAATGAGTTCCTCAAACACGCGCCTTACCAATTGATCTAAGCTGGCCCGAAAACCCTCGTTAGGGAAGTTCCCTTTCCAAAAAAAGCTTAATGAGTTCGCCAAAGTACCACATACCAATCATACAACTGGGCTTAACCCTGGGGTATATTCCAACCCAATATACATATGAGGGCCCAGCCTTGGGGCCCCGTCCTGGGTTGTATTTCAATCCGATCAGCACATATGGGCCCCTCCCTGGGGCCTTACCCTGAGATATCTTTCAACCCAATCATACAGTAGTGGGCTCGCCCTAGGGTCTATTTCAACCCGAACATACGATAGTAGGCCCCATCCTGGGGTCTATTTCAACCCATCATACAAACACATATAAGCCACATAACAACTATCATCATAAATAACACAATAATAGGTTGGCATTGGTGCCTTCGACCCATGGATAAAGTGAGAAGACTCACCTTACAGATGGATAAAAGTTGAACAATGCGCTGCACCGAAAACCAACTCTACCGGTCACGTTTACAAATAACAGTGACCAAAACACAGACTACAACTCAAAATACCCAAAATATCCCTAGGTTAAACTTGGTCAAAATCCAGGTTAAAGTCAAAGTCAACCGAGTCAATCGGGTCAACTCGATGAGTACGTTGCACGTACTCAACATATACGCGGGGAGTAGTACGTATTTGACCAGAATTGAGGGGCTGACCACGTACGCGCATCGTACACTTTGGTACGCCCAATGTACGCGGCTGCCACCCATTCTTCCCATTAAGAGCTTAATCCTTAAGCTCTTTCGTCCAAAATCTAGATCTAGCCCATAAATGATGTTCTTGACCATAAAGTTTCCAACTTTATGGTCTTGCATGGCTATTAAGACCTCAAAATCAAAAACCCTAGCCTCTTGACCCATTAAGACAACCTATATCATGCATGGAAAGAAACTAATGCTCAAGATCACATTTTTATGACTTATCACACCCTAAAACCTCTGAAAGGACAACTCAAAAGTGTTGGAGTATTCCATACTCACAAAGATCAAGATTTGTGACAAAAATGTGCAAACTTTAAGCTAGAACTAGATCTTAATAAAATATTCATCAAGGTTGGAGCTTTATACCTCCAGAAGATGCACAAGGGAGAGTACTTGATGGATCCAAAGTCTTGAGTGAAGCACCACAAATTCAAGGTTCTTCCTACACCACCATGAGCACCAAAATGACTCTCCAGGCTTCAAAATATACTCACACACTTTAGGGTTTCAAAATGAGAGCAAATATGGATGGAGTCTGGAGTTAAGAGAGAGTATGTGGCTATAATGATGTTTAAATAGGGTCAAAACCCTAAAAATTAGGGTTTGCACCCTGTCCACGTACACCCAACGTACTTAACATACGCCCAACGTACGCATGCATGTCCCAATATTACAAAATACCATTAGGGACTAAATTTGCAAACAAATCACAAACCAAGGGTCAAAATGGAATACCTGGAAATCAAGATGTTACAACGGTCAGAATGAAGAGTTCAAGTTAGAGGATATTGAGGCAAAGATTGTTAGGCAATGAAGAGTTGAAGTTAGAGGAGTGAAGGGAAAGAGGTAGATGGTGGTGTTGGTAAAGCTTCAATAAAGAACTAAAAATATACAGAGAGACGATAGATGTGAGGTATAAGGGCAATGGTGTCACAAATTATAAAACCTAGAATCTATTTTGAATTTATTTTAAAATTCTTGTGGTACGTGAAGGTTTCTAACATGATCCTGCATAGCGATTTGATAAAATTCATGATTTTAAAATCTTTTTCTTTTTAAACCAAACAAGGAAAGATTATGTATGAGTTTAAATTTCAATCCTTATAAATCCAATATATTACTTTAATCCAAACACATTATTAATCGTTTTACAGATCGTTAATTGTTGAAGATTTTTTGGCCCTGTTTGCCAAAAAAAAAAAACAATGGGTTGGTCTAATCTCAGAACAAAGGCTATAAAACAATCATAAAAAGTTTATTATAGGTTATTTATATTTATTAGCAATAACATGTATTTAGGGTCGGTCCAAGATGATTTGAGGCCCGGGCAAAGTAAAAAATGAGGCCCTTTTATAATTATAATAAATAATATAATTGTAAGCTAATATAGAAACATAGCTAACAATTTTTTTTTAAAGATACATGCTTTTTTGAATGCAAGGCTATCGATTATAGTATAAGTTAAATAATATCAACAAATATTTCTCAATGCATAACAAAATAGATATAAATGATCAAATAATATGATATTCACACTCATGTAAAGACTAAGAGAGTACCTGTTGTTTGTGTAAATACCCACTAATCAGAAAAAAAAACAATACAACATTATAAAAAAACTGAAGTTCAAAATAACAAAAGAAAACAAAATTAAATAGATTATCTTTAAAGAAAACGAAATCGAATTTCAGTGTAATCATCAAAAGCCCAATACATCAAATTAACAAAAAAATGTCAGAATGATAGAGAAGTCAAAATTGGGCAGAACATCTTTAAAGAAATTGGCATTCATAAATTTGATTTCGTCTCTAACTTAAACATATTAACTTTCAGAAATTCAATTAATCTCTCATATACAAAGATTCAGAAAATCCGAATTTCACATATGAAATAATAAGATATTTCAAGAATCAAGAAGGCTAGAACTTACAATTCTTGATTCCAGATTTCTAGTGAGTGAGGCACAATACAGAGGCAACGATTGTGGAGAAGAAATCGATTACAGTCTCTAAAAGGTCTCACTGAAAAATTAGAAATAAATCAACTAACTTCAAATAATCCAATTCAATGTCACTCAGTATAGTCATGTTTAATGTTATTTCAGAAAAGGAAATCAGAAATAAGAAGGAATTAAGGGAAAGCACAAAGTTTCAATTTTCTGAAATCGTTGTAGACTTGTGGTACCTTGTTGAGTTGTAAACAATTTTATAAAATCAGAAAAGAAGGAGAATAAATCGAAGAACAAGGAGTCAATGAGAACTAAACGGTTGGGCGATGGATTCAGGAGAAGTGGACGACTAGACGTCGTTTGGATATTCATTAGAAATCATTCATGAAGTTGCTTTCGAAGTCGGAACGCACGCTAGTCGCTAGGCATTACCGTATATGTCTTTTTGCTTCTGCTCCGTCTTTTGGAATAGAGTGTTGGGCCAAAATTAGTCCAATAAGCTAAGAATTAATGGGTTGACACTTTGTACCCCCAATATAACAAGTATAAAATGGGGGCCCTTTGGGATTTGGGGACCCGAGATGGTCGCCCACCTTGCCCAGGCCCATGGGCCGGCCCTGCATGTAATGTAATTTCCAAATAATCAGTCAAATAACAACAAGATTTTTAGGTTGTTTATATTTATTAAGTAGCAATAACATGTATTATAATTTCCAAATAACGATGCATTATTTCACTATTATTATGATAATTCAGTTTATATATTGTATTTTTTACTAATCTTAACGTCTTATATTTTTTAATAACTTTAACAACTTTTATTAATTTTACTTTTTATAAATTTCTTAATATCTTATACTAACCACATGTTATCAATAATAAGTGTACATACTAAACTTATATTACTTTACTTTATAATTTGTCAGCTATTTTCAAGATTGATTGTCTTTACAGTCTATTTAATTTTATATTTTATTGTATAACATCATATTTTATCATATAAATAATGTTATATTTTATCATATTTTACAGTCTATTTAAGATTGATTGTCTTTACAGTCTATTTAATTTTATATTTTATTGTATAACATCATATAAATAATGTTGTTTATATCTTCAAATCGCTTTACATATTAATTTGTATTAACCATTATAAAGTTAAAGACAAAACATCTAATTTTGTAAAAAAATAATAATTGTTTGGAGAATGACGGCAAACTTAACAATAAGACATATAATATTGGATTTAAAAGCCTTTGAAAATTTGTGATTTCAGAACAATTATTTAAAATATTTCAATTGGTTTTTTTATTAGTATAGGTTAAATTATTTATTTATTCATCATTTCGTTTTTATTTATTTCGAAATTTTATTTTAAAAATGCTTAATGTTTATATTTTGACTTTTTTAATAGACTGTGTAATACACGGGTTTGAAACCTAGTTCTTTAATATGATAATGTACATTTTTAATATATAATAAAGAATAAAAATTTCTCACTTTTGACAAAGTAAATATCATATTATTTTAAGATTAATATATCAATCAGAATAAGACTTGCAAGATAAATTAGATCCTTATTCCATAACAAAAGGAAAAGGGTGCTCTTATGAACGATTCAAATCAAAAACCATACTAGCAATGGTTACACCACTTAAATATATTTTAATTAATCTTGTTCATTAACTTTAACAGCAATGGTTACACCAATTAAATATTTTAATCAATCTTGTTCATTAACTTTTTTTAATATATTCAAATCAATTCCAATGATCTAATGAGTTGTTGACTTTATCTTTAAACTTTCTTAATTCATATTATCTCAAGACTTGTTCTCACGGTGTTGCAATTAGTTTGTACCTGTTCAAAGCTTGCCGGTAATTATTTATTCTCAACCGAGCAAATCCCCCGCCTATGAAACCTTCAATCTTCCACGCATTCCACCATCTCCAACCTCACAATCCACCACAATGTCTCTTTTCTCTCTGCAATTTCGAGCCATGTTTAGAGCAATGAACAAGAGAAAAGGTCGCCGGGGATACGATCAGTTGATCAGCGAATCCACCATCGTCGACAATCTACCGCCGGAGCCTAAGATGATCAGATCCACATCGTTGCCTGCAAATTCCTCCAGCGATTTTCCGGTGAAAGTAGATCTCACAGACAAGCAAATGAGAAAGGTGAGGAAAGTGCATCCGCTCTACAGCTTATTAGAGAAGAGGAGGAAGAAGAAGGCGACTGCTAAACCGGAGTTTTCAAGGTACTTGGAGTATCTCAAGGAAGGAGGTATTTGGGACGCTAATTCAGCCAAGCCTGTCATCTACTGATTTAGTGATTATTTCAATCAACCATAAAACTTGTAGGAGTTCTTACATTAATCGAGTGTTTGTATGCATTGATTGTAGATACCATTGCGTGCTCTTCAAGTATTTTATGTTCTTATATATCAAATAATCAAAAATACCTTATATATACATTTGATTTTTTGTGTACCAGATTACATTGAATTTACCCTATAATTTCTTCTTTCATAAATCAAATTAGTTGTGAGATCCATGTATTACATGGGTTAATTTAAAAAAAAATTAATATAAATGTTAAAATATTTGAGAACTTTGAATTTATAAGAAAATAAGAAAAATAATGAATTATTATAATGAAAATCTTTTTTATCTTTTAAATTTAAACAAATAATTTTAATACCAAAAGAAACTAATAAGCTTTAATTTTAGGAATTTTGAAATTAAAAGGTAAGTTTATTAATAAAATTGATATTTATTTATTACTATATTTATTGCAACTGTTACATTAAAATATTATGTAGAATGTAATAAAATAGAAAAACTTATAAAATGACATGTGAAAAAAAAATTAATTCAAAATAACCATAAAATGACATTTGGCAAATTGAATGAGAGTGTGGCAAATGACAAAAAAAACATTCATTTATTAGAGAGGATTAGAATTCCGAAAAATCCAATCGTTTTGATTCTTCCATTCTAGTCAACATTAAATATTTTATGTGATCAATTAGATTTTTTTTTGAACCAGCGACATATTTCCATAAGCGTACCGGACTCTAGTAATGTGGATCCAGTAACAGGCAAGCCCACACACCTCGGTCTTTCCCCTTATTCGCCACTCCAAGGAAAATCCTCCAAATGTGAAACTTGGTGGTTTTTTTATTGGTCTTGTCTCTTAACCGGATATTAACGGACTTGGCATCCAAACTTGGGCATGTGGAAAATCCTAATGGATCACTACCAAATGAAGTATCATCATTCATCTTAATCAATCGTTTGATTCAAGACTTTTTGTATAAATTGATAAAAATATATAATGTTATTATTACATGCATAAATATCTGACATTTACAGTTCTATATGGCATGATATTAACATGTATTTATGTAATTTCAAGACTTCGAGGGTATGCAACTATGCATGGTTTAAGTTACAAAAACTAGTTATCATAAGACTTCGTGGGTATGCAACTATGCATGGTTTATGTTCTCGTTATCATATATTTGTATAACCATCAACTGTCGAAACTAAGAAATCCAAAACCAATGAACTTTCAAAATAGAGTAAATTACAAATTTTGTCTATATGATTATGATATACAAAAATATTTGAGTAAATTACAAATTTTGTCTATATGATTATGATATACAAAAATATTCGAGTAAATTACAAATTTTGTCTATATGATTAGGATATACCAAAATATTTGAGTAAATTACACGAATGGTCCCTATGGTTTGGGGTAATTTGCATGTTTGATCTCTAACTTTTTTTTAACTCGGAGCATCCCTATTGTTTGCTTTCGTTGCGCGTTTAGTCCCTGATTGTCCTGTACTTACTATATTACCCTTATTAATTTATTTTGTATTTTTTAATATTTATTTTTTATTTACAATTTACAAAAATGAAAAAAAACCCATCCATCTCTGTCCGGCTACCCAATCAAACCCCAACATACATTTTCTTCTGATACACCGTCCTTCTTTCTCTACCCAACAAAGGTGCAAGAACTTAGCCCATCCAAGAACTGCATCCCCATCGTCGTCGTCGATGCCCTAGATGCTTCCGACGAATGGAAATCAAAAATCAAGAACACTCCCCTCTCCTTTTCTCAACTTCGGTGAACAAACCCTAACCCTTGAAGTTGGAACATCGTCACTGCCGCTAGCATCTTCGCCATATCCGTCAACATCTTCGATTTACTCCGTCGGAAACACAACCCACACCATCTCCAACATCTTCGACTTACTTTATCACAATTTTTTGGTTTGATTTGGTGTTTTCTGGTTCTGGATTTGGTGTTTCTTCTGATTTTGGTTTAGAGTTTAGCCGACGACTTCTTCGTGGAAGAGTGGCGGCGTCGGCGACGACCTTACCCACCACTGGTTCTCGAGCATCCTTCCGACAAACCAGATTTCTTGCCTCTTGCCTTTCAATTGTTGGCCCTATCGTTCTTGGTGATGGTAGGTTTAGGTTACAGGGGAGGAAAGCTGGTTGTTTGGTGATTATGATTTATGAGTTTTATCTGGTTTTTAAGCAAAGAGTCAGAAACGGATTTTGTTTATTTCCTTTACAAGAGTTTCTCTTGAGGTTTGGATTTCAAATAGATTAGGTAAGTAGTGGTTCAATATTGAGTTTTGAATTGAACCGATGCTAGAGATGATAGGAAGAGGTGGCGGTATGGGGTTGGTAGGGTTGACAAGAGGCGGCGACAGTATGGGAGAAGGAAGGCTCCCAGAGAAGCGTGGTCGGAGAAGGTGACCCCACGGTAGGTCAGACGGGGCAACGAGAATTAAGGTATGGGATATAATGATGAACTAGGAAAAGGTCCATGCGTTGCACGAGTCATTCTTTTTAGAAAAAAATGGTAGAATAACATGATAGACGAAATTTTAAAAAAAAATAAAGAAAATTGATTGAATTTAGCAACTTTTTAGAAAACATGTGACGAAAGTCTGAATGTTAAAAAGTTTGGGTTGATAATAGAAGGAAAAAAAGTATCAAAATAGAATAATCTTGAAAAATGACAGACAAAACTGTAAATGGATTAAAGAAACAGAGCACTTTTGAGAAAAATATAAAAAAATGTGAGAAAAGTCACAACTGAATCCTTTTAGAAAAAAAAATAAAGGATAAAAGAATACGTTAGACGAAAATGATAAATAATAAAGAAAATGGGTTGTAAAGAAGTAAAAGTGAAAGTTTAGTGGCAAAAATATAAATAAGTAAAAATAATGTGGCAAAACTATAAAAAGAAAAAGTTTTTTGAAACTTTAGTGATAAAATTATAAAAAAATAAAAATATGTGGTAAAATTATAAAGGAGAGAAGTTTCCTGTTGAAACTTATCAAGTAAAAATATGTGATAAAATCATAAAGGAGAGAAATTTCCTCTTGAAACTTCTCATGTCCTTTAATATATATATATATATATATATATATATATATATATATATATATATATATATAATGGTGGACCCGCAAATATTATTTATTAACCCTTTTTCTAATAAGACAATATTAATAAGAATTTAAAATCAATAATAGAAAAATAAAAAAACAAATAAAAAAATAAAAAATGATATATCAATCATTTCAGGTGTGGTAGAGACTAAACGCGCAACAAAAGCAAACAATATGGATGCTACGATCGAAAAAAAGTTAGGGACCAAACGTGTAAATTACCCCAAACCACATGAACCATTCATATAATTTACTGAAAACATTTTCTTGATTTGGGCCATGTAAGAGGTTTTGTATTGGTTTTGGTCATGCAGTCATTAAATGTATCTATTGTCATTAAATCTATCTATTTAAACTGTTCTATAATGATAATTTTGGCCTTCAACCAAACCCAAAAAAACTAACATATTGTAAGGACCAAAATTTTAGTTTACTCCTACTAAAAAGATAAAAAAGGGTATATCAATCATTTCAGGTGTGATAGAGACTAAACGCGTAACGAAAGCAAACAATAGGGATGCTACGAGTTTAAAAAAAAAGTTAGAGACCAAATATGTAAATTACCCCAAACCACATGATCCATTCATATAATTTACTCAAAATATTTTCTTGATTTTGGCCATGTGAGAGGTTTTGTATCGGTTTTAGTCATGTAATCATTAAATCTATCTTTTTAAACTGTTCTATAATGATAATTTTGGCCTTCAACCAAACCCAAAAAACTAAGGCCCTGATACTCGTCTGACTGAGTCAAGTCAGACATTTTGGCTGACTCGGTCAGCTGTAGCTGTTTGATAACCCTTCTGACTGAGAAATTGAGGTCTGACCCGACAAGAGAGAAGGAACCGACTGAATAAGAAAGGAAGACGTCTAATTCCACTTGTGCCCTTGCGTGTGTATCCCTGTACGTGTAGGAAGAATCGATCCAACACCCCTTTTGCATCTCGTTCGTAATAGGCTCACAGAATCGATCATCCAACACCTCCTTTGCTTTCTTAAAATCAATCACAGAATCGATGGACTGCCTCTTTCCACTTCGGTTCGAATTTAATTGCAGGTATGTTTCCCCTTCTCTTTTGCGTTTATATCTCCAGCAGTAGTAAGAAATTAACCATCTGAAATCACTTCCATTCATATTCTCGCAATCAATCAACCATCTGAAATCATATCAGAATCCATATGCTCCTATGTTCTTATTTTTCTTTTGTATCTGCTGGTTGAGTGAGGAAGAAAGAAAAAAAGACATTGATTTTCTCTTGGGGGTAATTTCCTCTCTCTATGTTGCTTCTCTCCTAATCTCTCTAATATTGCTGCAGGAGTGGTGCTATGTACATTTAAAACATTCGATGGATACACTTGGATTTTTTTAACTACAATAGAAAGTTGTGCTATACTCAAGTCTAGATGCTCCCTCTGTTACTATTAAGCCCCTGAGATATATCATTATTTGTAAATGGCAAGGATGTGTTGTTGGTAGTTTAAAGTGGCTACAATTGATGTTTCTTTCACAAGGTTGCTGGTAATTCTCTTGCTTTGGACAATTTTGCCCTTACACAAGTTTTATCCAGAAAGGCCTTTTGCTCCCCTGTTTAGTATAGAGTTTGGTTATAATAGTTTGATGTGGTCATGATGTTGAATCTGGTTTTTATTTGTCTGTTTGTTTTTTTGTACTCCTTTGAGTGATTGCTCAATGAAACCAATCCACCAAATAGAATATGTATGTGTTTTGATGTGGTCACAGAATGAATCATATGATAAAATTTTGTTTATTTCAGCTATTTTTTTAGTTTACATATCAGTTACAGTTAAAATTTTTGAATGATGGTGTTTGTTCCTTAATTGTAAGCTAAACACTCAAAACCAACAAGCTTAAATTTCACATTTCTTGGTTAATTGGAGGTCAACTGATAATGCTTCATTTTTCACTTCCAAGGATGGCATCAGAGCTTTGGAATAAGCCATTCCATCTTTTGGTGATTCCGTTTGTAAGGGTATAATTTCTTGATTCTTATCAACATGGTTTCAAGGGCATTTCAGCTATGAGGATTAGGAGGACATTTACGTCTTTTTCATAGACGAGAGATCGAGAGATCAAAAATTGCAATTTTGTTCCAGCCCCAGTCCCAGGCAGTACACCTGGTTCTATCATGTTCTGTCTTGCATAACAAACAAGACCTTAAAGCATTAGTAGACAAAAAGATTTGTTAGTGAGTTCATAATCTTTCTTTAAATGAATAGATCGATTAGATATTTTTTATTATGCTGGAAGTTTTATTATTATTATTATTATTATTATTATTATTATTATTATTATTATAAAGAGTACAAGGGTAAAATGGTCATTTTGCATCAGTCAGCACATTCAGTCAGATGTACAATCAAACAACATGATTTCTTACTCAGTCAGAATTTATTACTCAGACAGATCTTTCCCGCTCAACACTTTCTCAGTCAGCAACTATCAAACGGCCCCTAACATATGGTAAGGACCAAAAATTTAGTTTACTCCTATTAATTATTAAACATTTGGTGTCAAATCGAGTAATTATGTCGTGCTTTTATGTGATACGACACGACATCATATATTTTTATATAATACGAACATGATACAATATATACTTTTTTTTTACTAACCCAAACATAATCTAGTTAAAAACACGACAAACACGTTAAAGATAACATAAAATAATCATTGGTTTATTTTAATTAATACTTTATTAATCAACACACACAAAAACATGACAAATACAAGGTGATATCTTGTCATTTTTATGTTAATTTTTGAACATGAACACGACACCATGATTTATACTAAACAAAAACAAGACACAAACACAAATTCAAATTAAATTGTATCCCAATTTGGTTTTGTGTTGTGTCATTGATAACATCACTATCAAAAAGTATAAGTTTTTTTTTTAATTATGTGCATCTAAAATGACTAATTTATCTTTGGTCCACCTAACACTTTTTTCCATTTTCTTGAAATATTGTAAATAACTAATATCTTTGAATATTAAAATACAGCTATATTTTAAAAACAGTATTCTATTTTAAAAGATGCTTACTAATATAAGAGGTTTAGTCGTTTGAGTTATAATTTGTGAAATTCTAATCTTTTTAAATATAAAATATATTGTTTTGATCAGAGGTAATTGAAAAATGGCAAGAGGGAACAACTCATGTCATTGGCATGTTGTAATGAGCAATATTTGTTCATATAATTTGAATTATGCCATAAGCAGTTTGCTAATTGCTTGGACAAATATGTTTTTTCGTTGATTATTTTTGTTAATTGCTCGATATAATGATCTATTCATCTATTGATTGATTTGGTACATGATAAAATTGTCACTTATCATATTGAGATTTTAGACCATAAAACGTCGAATGATACTTTATATATTATTCTTTCAACGATGAAAATAATTAAATATTACATTTATATTAATAAAAGATGTATATAGTCAATTGAAAGTTTATAATATATATATATATATATATATATATATATATATATATATATATTTGGAGTTTAGGTTTGACAAATATTATAGGCTGTTTAAACTTGTTTAAAACTGTTAACAATAAGAATTTAAGCAAATCTTGTATTTCAAAATTTATGAATGATTACCTAATATTTAAAAGTTAGTGTGCAATAAATGTAAATTTTGATACTAAAAACACTATAAAATTCCCTTTTAAACAAATATCTTCCTATATAATAATAATAATTAGCGTCACTTTTTTATTTTTTATAATTTACTTTTTCTTTTCAAATGTTCTATAAAAATGACACTTGCTATTTCTTTTTATTATTTTTTATTTTTTAAAAATATTGATGTTGACATTAAGTTAGACATTTATTTATTTGATTCCTGATTTTTAGAAAAAATTTAAATTCGTCTTGAATAAGTTTCGGTTATGATTGCCGATAATTAATTGCATTTTATATTGAAAATCTTACAAAATCATGTTTTATTAATAGTTTAATTGAAAATAATTAATTAATAATTATGAGTTTATTATAAAAATTTAATTATTTTTGACTGTAGTTTCAACGGGTTATAATCTAATTACAAATAATAACTAATATATTAACTTTCAATTTTAATTTGGGTTATTCGAGTGGGTTGCTACTCCAATTAATCCGAAATGCACAAAATCAAAACCAAACTATTTCAATTTCACGACAAAATGAAACAAACCCAAATCCAAACCATGGTTGGGTCCGCCCCTCCGTTGCTATCAACGTCCATGAGATACCGAGCGGAATCTGAATCTTATCACAACCATGCC